AAATGTAAAATAATAGTTAATAAAGAAAATAATAAAGATTGAAATCAAAAAAAACACATAAATTAAATATAAAAAATGTTATTTAACGTTAAATGCTATAAAAAACAATAAAAAAAAATACAATAAACATTTATTAAATGACCATTTTTATAGTGTAAAATGAATATTTTATACTTTTAATGTTATTAAATGCCATTCTAAAATGCTATAAAAAATTCGTACTGTTATGACTAATGATATATGAACGTCAATATACAACGTTATTAATACGAAAAGTTCGTTATACATTATAAAACGGTAATATATAATGTTATATAAATGCCGATCATAAAACGTAATACGAACAGAGCATTCGTATAGTGTTCTAGAACATTACGTTCTGATACGTTGGTGTCATTCTAGAATGCTATTCGAATGTTCTGTTCGTATAATGTTGTAGAACGTTATATAAAAATTCCTGATGTAAAATAATTAAAATTATCTATACAATTAATAAAGTTTTTATTAGTAATCCAAGTTGTAATTTTTTTAGAACCTAAAATAACTTTCTTTTAAGCTACTCTCTTATTGTGTAGTGTTAATTCAACAAAACCAGTATAAAATCATTTTTGTCCTTTAATCTTTCACATATCTGATTATTTTATATTTTTGATAAGTTTTTCAAATATATTTGAATTTACTCCTCTTAGTTTTTTGACAAATTAATTATTATCTACAGGTTCACTTTTGATATCTAGTCAAGTATTAAAGTTAATTGTGACATATTTGAAATTTAATATATCTATTTCAAGTTGTAACTTTTTTTCTCACTATTTTTTAATAGCTGAGAGATAATGTCTAGTGCATTTATTGTGTCTAGACATAGTTTAAAAAAAAATAATCAATTTGCAAACAAACAAGATAAATCATCCTTTAATTTCTTAAAAATGACAAATATTTGATGAAAAAGGAACTAAATATCACTTAATGATAAAATAGAAACCTATTTATTTCATATTTAACAGAAGTAGAAACCTCTTGAACTAACTAAGGTAGTTCAAACATCTTCCAAACCTTTTTATTAATTATAATAAATAATAAATTATGTATAGAAGGAGATAATAAAAAATATATATATATAATTTTGACTTTGTTAATATTTAATTCATATGAAAATTACAGGATATTGATTAAAATTTCTTGGCTTTGTCAAAAAATCAGGTAAAAGTCATATAACAATAAGCCATAAAATTTTAGAAATGACACAATAATTGACTTTCTGCATCATAATAATTAATTTGTTATTGATTAAGAATATATAATTATAATTAATACTATGAAATTTGTATAACTATATCACATCAACATGTAACTTATACTATAAATTATGTGGTTAATTAATATAAATTTTTATTTGATATTAATGAAATTTACTAATTATAAATTATCAAATTATAATTTTATATTTAATTTCATTTTTATATGCTATTGTATTGCTGGTATTAAGTATTGTTACCTTAATAATTTTATTTGGTAACAATATATATTAACACTTATAAATCAAGGGTTATTGAAATAATTCTTATAGTTTTTTTAGAATTTGAAAAATATTTCAGTAAAATTCATAAGAGTGATGAAGTTGATGAAATAGCAAAAAAAATTTTTTTGTTTATAATCCAACAAAAAATGTTACATATTACATTCATTTATTCACAATCAATGGAATTTCCTTCATTTGGAGAAATAATAAAATGTTTGGTAATACAGGTCAAATACAAAAGAATTGCTGTATCAAAAAAAAATTCTGATTTTAGCTAATTTATAATATAGGAATTACTATTCAGTACAGTGATTCTTTTGTATTTGACTAGTATAAATTAGAAGATTCTAATTATGATATAATCATGATTAAAAAGTGAATTAGAAAATGTAATTCTAAACTAATTTTTTTTTTATTTTTTTAATTTAGTTTTAAATCTATTACTTCAAGGAAATTTTTAAAATTCAAATGAAAAATTCAAGTTAGAAAATTAGGAATTACAAATTCTGAAAAGGAATTATCTATTGATCTCTTTTTCTTCTAATGATTTAGGCTCAGACAATTTTACTGAAATTAGAAGTATTAGAAATTGTAATTTTTTATTTAAGCATGTAATAAAATAAAAGTTTAAATTTTTAATGACCTAATTAAGATAGCAAAGAATCATTATAAATAATTATATAATAATTATAAAAAAGCAGTTTTAATTAATCTTTATTCTTTGTATATAATTGTATTTTATTCACTTTTTGCATTCTGATTTTGAGATTTCACTAATAAAAAAAATTTTTTTTTTTTTTACTATACTTTTTAGACATCTTTTAAAATACATTATGCAAAAAAAAACAAATCATGAATTGAAAGCAAAGTAACAAAGTAAAAGGAGAAAATAAAACTTTTAGTGTATTGTATATAATATTTCAGAGTAATTTTGAAATACAGTTTCCATTTTTATCTTTCATAACATAATTTCCTATATTGTATTAATTTAATTTAGATAACAATACAGTATTATTGTCCGGAATTGTTAACAGTGATACCAAAGTTCCGTTTTGATTTGAATTCTTGTCATTAATTGCAAATTGTGCAACGTATTAAGCATCGCGTGACATTATCTCCGGACTGGTGTTTATATTATCACTATAATTGGGTAAATAAAATAATTATTTAAATTAATATTTATAGTAAATATTATTGTAATACAGCGATCAAATATAATTCTGTTACATTAATATCATATATATATATATATCCCATATCCAAACAAAAAAAAATTTAATTAAAAAAATGTCTACCAATACTAAGTATACCACACTTCAAGAAGAAGAAGACCAAAATAATAATAAAAATGATTATGATAGTAATAATAATAATAATAATAATAACAATATTGATGATGATAATAATAATGATATTAATCTTAATGAAGATAATGAACCAGAAAATGAAAGAAACGAAGGAAGTGAGGGAAGTGAGGGAAGTGAAGCAAATGATACAGATGGTTTGTTAAGTGGTCGTCGTGAGGTTGATGAAGAATCACAAACTCTTAAAAAAGTATGAATTATTATAATAATACTACTAAAAAGAAAATCATTCAAATAACACATCACATTTAAAAAAAATATAACACATTTAAAAAAATGACACGTTTAATTAGGAACGACGTAATCTAATTCTCGGATTTCTTGTAATCTTTATGATACTCATAATGTTATTGGGAACATTAATAGGAATAATAATGATATTTCCAAATTATCATGTTCCAATAATATATTCTAATGGAACTCACACTTTTCGATCCACTGTACTCTTAATATCATTTGATGGATTTAGGGCCGATTATTTAAATCGAAATGCCACACCTTATATATCTGAATTTAGTAATTATTATATTTTTTTACTATTAAATTTATTTATTAAATTTATTTTTTTATTTGTATTTATTTTATTATTAATTTATTAATTTATTTTAATTCTAGTTAATAATGGTATCAAAGCAGAATATATGAGACCTTCATTTCCAGTAAGTTTTACATATATTTTCAGATTCTCATTTTTAAATTAAATTAAAAAAATTTTTTTTTCTAATTTTCTTTTTAATATGAAATAAATAAATATAGTCAAATACATTTCCAAATCATTACACAATTGTAACAGGATTATATCCTGAATCTCATGGAATAATAGATAATGTATTTTATGATACAGTTTTAAATGATACATTTTATTATACTGATCCTAAAAGAAGTTTTGATTCTAAATGGTGGGGTGGTGAACCTGTAAGTTAAAGAAAATTATTTATTTAATAAATTTTACTTGATATATGGATACATAAATAGAGAGATATATTTACTATATTTTTACTTTAACCATATAACTTATAACTTATACTAATTTATACCAAGTTATACCAAATTATACCAAATTATACCAAATTATACCAATTTATACCAATTTATACTAATTTATATTAATTTATTTTAGTTATGGGTTTCGGTAGTAAAAGACGGACAAAAATCTGGAGTCTCACAATGGGTTGGATCATCTTCCGTGATTAAAGGAATTTCCCCAACTTATCATTATCCATTTAATTTAAGTTTAACGACTCAAGAAAAAGTATCACAAGTGATGAATTGGTTAGATCTTCCATTTGACGAGAGACCAACATTCTTGGCCACTTACACAAATCAAGTTGATAGTGCCGGTCATACATTTGGTCCGGATTCTTTAATGGAAATAAATGAAGCATTATTTCAAGTTGACAATTTTGTTCGGGAGATGATGGCAGGTTTGGCAAAGAGGAATCTTACGGATATTGTTAATGTGATAATTGTAAATATATATTTATTATTATATTTTATTATTTGTATTTGTTTATTATTATATTTATATTTCATCACATATATACATATTTATTTATTATAATTCATTAGGTCAGCGATCATGGAATGACAACATCAATACCCGATAAAATAATAAATTTAGAAAATTATATTAATATATCAAAAGTATATCCGGTAGTTGGATACCCATTAGCAGAAATTCGTCCATACCTAGATTCGGAAATACAAAATATCTATACGGATTTAAAAAATGCGAGCATCGGTCAATCATGGGATTGTTATAAGAGTGATGAAATTCCTTCGAAATATCATTTTTCAACTAACACATCATCATCAATATCATCACCACGAATAGCTCCTATATATTGTTTGCCACCATTGGGTGGAGGATTTATTAATAATCGAGATTTTGAAAATGAGACAATACCCAATGGTACGCATGGATATGATAATTACTTATCTGATATGAGAGCAATTTTTTTAGCTTCAGGTCCTGCATTTAAAAATATTACTAGAAAAAGAATTATTGATAATAATAATAATAATAATAATGTGGTGGAAAATTTTAGTAATGTAGAAGTTTATAATATAATAAGTCGAATTTTACATTTATGCCCTGTTCCAAATAATGGAACTCGTGGAGGAATCCTTTGGAATGATTCTAATTTAATTAATTAATTATTTATTTTTATTATTTAATTATATTCATATTATTATAATTATTCATATCGTTTATTAAATGTTTATTAAATGTATATTATATTTGAATTAATTCATTTAAAATATTTTTTTTTATTAACAGTTAAGAAATTTTAATAAATACATTAATACATTTATATATATATATATATGTATATGGATATTTGAGTTAAAAATATTTTGATATTCAATTTATATGTATATATAGAAATATATAGATACAGAGTGATATATATATAGAGAGAGAGAGAAAGGGAAAATAAAAATAATAAAATATCGGTTTATTACAATGCCATGCCATGTTATCACCCAATTATTTCTTGAATTTCCACCAAATCTATGATTTATTTATGATAATAATGACGATAATGATAACAATAATGATAATGATAATGATAATGATAGTGATAATGATAATAAAAATGATTATCGATGATAATGATAATGAAGAAGCTGATGATAATGATAACGATAATGATGATGATGATGACGATGATGATGATGTTGATGATGTTGATGGTGATGATAATTAACATCTGTCAATTAATGAACTATCAATAAAACATATCAACATTATTTTCATCAAATTGTTGTTGATGTTGAGAAGGAGGCGGTTGTTGTGGTTGTTGTGATAAGGAATCAGACATTGATGATGATGCGGACGATGATGATGAAGCGTGATCAGTTGTTGAAACAAAAGGAATATTTTGTGATGATAAATAAGAAGCCCATTCTTCTAAACTTGCATTTTGTGGTAAATCCCATAATCCCGAATTTAATGAATTAAATGTTCCGTTATTATTATTATTATTATTATTATTATAATTACTACTACTAGAATTATTATTATAATTATCTACAGATGATGATTGATTGGTAGTATTGGCATTCATAGTATTCATATATCCAAAATCAAAAGAACTATTAAAAAGTTGAGCTGATCCCATAAGATTATTATTATTATGATGATTAAGTTGTGGTTGTTGAAGTTGTGATGGTTGAAGTTGTGGTAATTGAATTGATTGTTGTGATTGCAATGATTGTAATGATTGTAATGATCGGATTGATTGAATTGATTGCATTGATTGTGGTTGATTAAATGATGTATTAAATTGTTGTTGTTGTTGTTGTAATATCATTGTTGGACTGTAACCTGTTGTTGAAAATTGTGGAGGGTTCATTACAATACCGTTAACGTCGTTATTATTATTATTATTATTAGATTGGTTAAATTGATTAAATTGTGGTCGAAAACGTGCTTCTTGTCCTTGAACAATACCTCCCAACATATATTGATTATTATTATTATTATTCAATGAATTTATAATTGGTTTTTGAGAATTCATAAGATTATTTGTGGCGGTAATGATGTTAGAATTATTATTAATAATATTATTATTAGAAGTATTAATATTATTAATATCATTGATATTATTGTTGATATTATTATTAATATTATTAATATCATTATTATTAATATCATTACTATTAATATTATTATTAATATTATTATTAGTATCCTTAGTATTATCCAATTGTATATCCTTTAAATCAACTAATGATTCCAACATATCACTATATAAATTAGCGGGGGGCCACTTTTTTTTTAATTCAGTTAAAATCTTGATGCTTTTACAAATATTGATTTTTGCCGATTGAGAAAATGAAGAATTTGATTGGGTTGCATTAAAAGTATGAATGACGGCTGCCGTAAATACACAATAAACTACTGGATTTAAACAAAATAATAAAATCTTTCTTTTTGACATTGTGTCAGCAATTTCTATTATAGCCGTAGCAGCCTTGGTACATACGTTAGATGAATTAGGATTTGAAATATATGGACGATGTAATAACATTAAAGTTGAATAATAAAGGATATGTAAACATAATGTGGTAGCTACAATTGGCGATGATGATGATGATGATGATGATGAATAAGGATCATATTGTAAATAAGGAGGTAATGATTCATACCATGAGGTAAGTGATGAATTAAGTATCGAAAGAACTGTATCACTAGTTGATGATATATGACTACATTTAATAGCATAAATATTTTGTATAATTCTACCCATAATTTCACATAATTTAATTAAATAATTGAATCGTGAAATTGTATGTGATATTGTTGGAGAATTATTATAATTATTACTATTATAGTTGTTATTATTATTGTTACTATTATTATTGTTGTTGTTGTTGTTGTTGTCATTGTTATTGTTGTTATTGTTATTGTTGTTGTTATTATTAATTTTATTAATTGTTGAAATTGGGGAACCTCCTCCTGATGAAATTGGCGAAGAAGTAGAAGAAACAGTTACATGTTCCATTTTAAATGGTAATATATCATTTTCTTCTTCATCATCTTCTAATGGATAAGCTGCATCTACATCTTTTTCATCAATAGCTAATGGTCTTCCCAAATTTGAACTTGGAATCCTATTATAATGATGATGAATATTAAATAATAATATGATGAATATTATGATAAATATTAAATAATATTAATGATAAGGATTAAAAAATAAATGATGATGATGATGATGATTACCTGTCACAAACAAAGCACGCCCAAAATACTCGTTTTTGTTCTTCTCTTTGTTCTCGTGATAAATCAATCGGATGCCATTTCTCATTATTACGATGCATCCCTAACTCTTGAGACATTCGTGAAGCCATTCCTGCGTATAACCAAGCTCTAGTAACATTCGATTTTCCATATTCCCTTAATGATAAAATAACTAACGCTTGAATTGTGGTCACCCGAGCTTTATCATAATCATTATCTAATAATGCTTTGGCTCGATCGAAAAAAACATCACCCGCCGTATTCGGATCATTCGAATATTTTCTTACCTCTGGTCTATCGGAAAATCTGGCCGAAAATGAATAAATCGCATTTAATAATAGGTGAGGTAAATGATCTTTATCTTTTAATTGATCAAAAAATCTGGGTTTATAAATCACCGGTAATAAAGGATGTACGTGAGTGAAATATATTTCTAATAAATGATCCGATAATTCTTGACTCGGTAATTCTGTTAATTCTGGTCGTTTTAATAATTCAAAATTATGAGTTGATGCAATTAATTCACTTAAATGATGATGTGATGGTAACTTGATATTATTATAATTGATATTATTATTATTATTATTATTATTATTATTATTATAATTGTCATTGTTATTATTATTATTATCATTATAATTTTTGCCACCACTGCCACCCGCGCTACCACTTGATAAAGATAGAATCCCATTATTATAAAGATCACTTTTTTTTAATAAATAGAGACCACTACTTCTACCATGATAACGAATTTGTTTATTCTCATCTATACTAAGAATTCCCATGACTTCGTTGAGATCATCGATTAGATCATTCTTATTATTTTTATCATTTCTATCATTTCTATCATTTCTCTCTAGGGATAAAGAATCCATTTTATTATTATAATTATTATAATTATCATGATCATTATTGTTATTGTTGTTATTGTTGTTATTGTTGTTGCTGTTGTTGTTGTTTTTATTGGAATCAAATTTCCTAAATTTTCGAGTTGAATGTAAATTATCCTCATCTTGCATTAATTCAGCTAAAACAGCTTCAGCTCTTGGATCATTACTATGCACCAAGTCACCTATGAGAGATTCCATTCTATGTAAACGAGTTTCAATGGCTTCAATGTATCCCTTTGGTGGACCTCTTTTTTAATCGTAATTAAATTATTATTATGATTATCATTATGGTTATTATTATAATTGTTAATATAATTATGATTTTTATGATTATAAATTAATTATTTTTTTTTAAAAAAAAATTATAATATGAATTACCTCTTTTTGGTGGTATCATTATAAGTACAGTCTAAAGTGAAAGCAGAACAGTTTCCGCATATTGGTTGAACACCATCACACTATATATATATATATATATATATTGAGTATGTATATATATTGAGAGTGAGTGCGTATTGAATGTGTTGTATTGGGTTAATGCGTAACACATGAAAGGTTAAACTGGGTTACCTTCACTTTCTTTCGACGACAAGAATCACAAGCTTTAGAAACGCGCTTTCTTTTATAAGTAACTTCTTCCAGCATATTAATTTTTAATTATTTTTTTTTATAGGATAAAAATAATAAAGTAATTGAAAGGAATAAAAATAATTATACTAAATAATAAACAGAACAAAAATGATAATAATAATAATAATAATAATAAAAAGTGAAAAACAAATAAAGGTGAGAAAAAAAAGAGGTTAATATTATTATAATATTTATAGTTTTAAGGTTTAGTGTTGGATTAGTAAAATTAATAAGAATTGATATTATTAAAAAAGTTTAATATAGATTTTATTTAGGTCTTTTCTTGTTTATTTATATTTATTCTTTTTTTAAATTTTCTAAACCAATCAATTGTAGAAATTAATCAAAGAACAAAAAAATAAACATTAAAAAATATTAATAATAATAATAATAAATAAATAATGAATAAACACAACAAAAACACAACATTATCTGATGCCTTACATATTTACATTAAAGAAAGAAAGAAAAAAAAGAAAAAGAATTGTGCATTAATCATCACAAATAAATAAAATAATAATTATTTATCATCATTTCAAGTTATTAATAAATAATAAATAAATAAAAAAATAATTATATCGTCAAAAAAAAAAAAGGATACGATAATAATCATTAATCGTCATAAATAATCGTGCGTTGTGTAATACAAAAAAAAAACCAAACACCAAATATAAGAATATTTTTTAGATATGTAACGTATGAATTATTTTTATATATTAATCAAATTAGTCAAAAATGTTTATTCACAGAATAATAATTATTGATGATAATTACCATAATTATTATAATTTGCTGTAATTGGTCATTTTCTAGAATGTCTGAAATTTATTTAATTTACGGAATCACCAATTTTATCTTTCCTTTTTATTCACGGAGTTAAATCACACATGTATTATGTCATGTATGTGAGAAATGGCTCGGATTTTTTATATACTGCCATAATTTTAACCACACAATTTTTTTAATATGATGTAATACATAATATATATATAAATCTCCATTCTTTTCATTTTTTTCATTCTTTCGCTATTCTAATTTCGGTGATTTAATCAACAATGGTCATATGATGTATCAAAAGCATTAATGTTAATGATAAATTTATAAATTATTGTCCACTTTTTATTAACACAATGGAATGGTCGCCAAACCTTCCTCTTCTTCTTCTTAATCTAACTCTTTTATATAATATTGATATTATTGATCAGTAAAAAAAAATAAAATAATAAAATAATAAAAAAATAATAAAAAAATAATAAAAAAATAATAAAAAAATAATATATCCTAAAAATACATGTTACACGAGTTACACGTTATTTGGTGTAGAAGTTTCTTTAACATATCACAATTTGCAATTTGCAATTAAATGATTGGGTGCCAAATTTCTTTAAATTTCAAAATTTCCTTCATATAATAATAACAATAAGTCTATATATATATACATAAGTTTTTAGTTTTTAAATCTTTTAATTTACTTAAAGTAATTTTTTTTTTTAAAGAGAAAAAGAAAAAAAAAAAAGAGATGAATGTCTTTAGAATCTCAGCGGATTTATTGCACCTGCTCTCAATTTTTATTCTGTTATTAAAAATGCAGAAAACGCGGTCGGTTGCAGGTAGCGTAACGTATATACATAATTTGGATTTTCAAATATATATATTTAAACATATTTCTAATGTTGAAATGAATCTATTTTATCCAACTACGAATCACTGTTTAATTATTCACTTTAAATTATTTTCAACAATTAATTAATTCTCAAATTTTAATTTAATTATGATTATTCATTTTTAATAATAATAATAAATCCAGGAATTTCTTTTAAAACCCAACTTCTTTATACAATCGTATTCATTGCTCGATACCTTGATCTTTTTGAAATCAGTTCTTTCGGATGGGGTACTTTATATAATATCGTGATGAAGATCATTTTTATCTCATCATCAGTTTACACTTTGTATTTAATGAAAAAGAAATTTCGAGCCACCTATGATCCAAACACTGATACATTTAGAATAGAATATTTATTGGCTTTATGTCTATTTTTGGGATTAATGTTTAATTATAAATTTACTGTTATGGAAGTAAGTTATATTTAATCAATTATTTTTATAACACACACATATCTATATATAATTACAATAATAATAATTATTAATTATTAATAATAAGGTACTCTGGGCATTTTCAATTTATCTCGAGGCCGTAGCAATTTTACCTCAATTGTTTATGTTATCAAGAACGGGAGAAGCGGAAACGATCACGACACATTATTTATTTGCGTTGGGAGCTTACCGAGGAATTTATTTATTAAATTGGGTTTGGAGATATAATATGGAAGGTTATGTTGATTGGATTGTTTGGATTGCGGGAGCGGTTCAAACCGCTTTGTATAGTGATTTCTTTTATATTTATTATAAGAAGTAAGTTTTATTACATTTATTATTTATTTATTATATATTTATTATATATTTATTATTACTATTGATATTTAACGTCGAATTATTTTTTTTAATTAATTAGAGTGTTGCATGGAGAAAAATTCATACTTCCAAAGTAAGTGTAATCCAAATTTTAATTTAATAATTTCTTTAATTTCCTATGATTTCTTTTAATTTCTTTTGGTTCCTTCAATTTCTTTTGGTCCCTTTAATTTCTTATGATTTATTAATATCTTTAATTTTTCTTCTTTAGGGATGTTGTATAAAAATATATTATAGTACCCAGTTTAAATGTTAAAAGTTATTTTATATAACCAAATCAAAAAAAAAAAAAATATAATAATATTGTAATTAAAAAAATTTTTTTAAAAAAATATTTAGATTAAAAGTTATTTTTTCAAAAATTCATAATATAATAGATATCCAATAATTATTTTACTATTGTTATTATTTTACTATTATCATTATACTATTATTTCTTTTATTATTACTTTTATTATTTACTTTTATTATTATTATTATTATTATATTATTATTATTATTTTTATTTTTATTATTATTATTATTATTACATTTCTAATAATATTCATAAATTTATGACAATAATATTTCATCTGTTGCATTATTACCCATGATAAAATTCATTGATCATGGTAATCATTACAATTGTTTCAAAGTCAAAGAAAACAATATCCCCAGAAAATTGCCAGTAAATTGCCAAAGCTTTGTCAAGGAAAATCAATTGTTCAGGTGTATAATTATTTTCATAAATTACTACACTATTTCATTTCTTCCATTTTCGCCCTTTGTAATAAAATATTGTTAATAACATTTGCAATAAAATAAAAATATAATAATAATTTCGGAAATCATAGATAATTTGGCAATTTTCCTTCCCGTTGTTAAATAATTCTAAAAAAAAACTTACCATCAATTTTTCTGACAGTCTTCACCTATAAATTACATTAACTTCAAACAAAAAATTCGTTAGTATTTTTTTTTTTTAAAACAAATAATTAAAAAAAAAGAAAAAAATACTTAAAATTTCATCACGAACCCGTGCAACTGTTAAAAAAATAATGCCTAAAAATGATTGTTACAATTGTTGTAACCAAAAGGTGACAACAAATTAATCCACATGGCAAATTTTTAATTAAATTTCTTTTTTGGGATGTCATCGGCTCATGACAGGGGTTACCCAGTAAAAACTAGCAATGTTTGGGTAGTTGCACTAATATGCCGAGCATCACAAGACTACAAAGACTACAAGGCACTCTTTGCTCAGCGCTCGTATCTCATTTGAACACAGTAATGTTATGCCTATAAATTTGAAGTTTTGCAATATGTTTCATTAAATGTATATAATATAAATAATACGCGTGAGTTTTTTTTTTTTTACCTAAACATTACCAGTAAATTTAATCTAGTCATCATTCCCGATAAATTACTTGATACGCTCCTCCTATTAAGTGAGAAAAAAAAAAAAAAAAAAAAAAAAAACTAAATAAAATTGTTGATCCAAATTGTGAACAAATATTTATATGTATTTTAAACGGAAGAAAAGCTTTCTTGGTATTCATTTAAACTTACAATAGAAATAAAATATCATTATGTGAACCTTTTATTAATCAGTCAAATATTTTTAATCATTCTATACATGCTTAAATTTGCATCAATCAAAAATTAATCATGAATTAACAAGTCTAATGATAACAAGTTTTGTTTACAAATAGGAAATGGATTTCTGAATAAGTTTTGTCTAAAATAAGTAAGAGATAAATAATAAAATGAAAAATATATTAGTCCGAAATATAAAATTAATATTAAATAACTAAACATATTCTATTTTTAATAAGAAATATTTTGATACTCTTCCAGGATGCAAGGTTAAAAACTTATCTATCTTAGTTAAAAAACTGTTTAAATGTGTTAATTTTAGATCATAATAATATAAAAAAATTTAATTAATTAAAGTTTTTTATAATAATTTATTTACTTAAAGATATCTTTAAAAAGATTTAAAGTTTATAATTATTTGATAATCAATCAGTATGACCATTGATTTTTTTTTTTTTTTTTACAAAGAAACTACTCTCTTATTTTTTCTTGGACTTTTACACACCCTAAACCAGTAGCGCAGCGCAGTACAAAAAAAAAAAAAGATAATATTTTTTTTTTTTGACATATTTCTTTTCTTTTTTACCGGAAAAGCATTTCCGTTTATAAAATATTCGAGAGATAAATAAATATTTGAATATTCTATATTGGATATATTTTTAATCTCGTAAATTCTATAATCTTTTGTTTTTCTTGGCATTAAATTGGTTTCGTGAAACAGAAATAAATAAATCTTATATAAAAATATCATCGGATATTTCCAAATTGTCTCAGTTTGGAAGTTTTATATTATAAAATGAAATAAGTATTTAAGAGAATGAACGACGTTTTGATTGGTTGATATTTTACAGATACCCGCCACTATTTCACTAAACTTCGCTACTTTCGCTACGCTACTTCCTAAATACCGTCATTGTGAAATTGTGAAATTAAGGAATGTGTGGCATAGTAGTAATAATCAATCATTTATTTACTTATACTATAAATCCAATATGTTACACGACAGATTTCATAGCGATTTTTTATAAGTGAAGTTTTGATTGTTGATAAAAAAAAAAAAAAAAAAAAAATTAAAAAAAAAAAATCAACATCAGGGGTGATTTAACTGTAAAACAACAAACAGGGTCGAAAAAGTTCAAACTGTCGGAGGGTGTTTTTCAAGAATTTTATTATTTCCTTTTTTTTTTTTATAAAATATTTCGAATTTTCAAATTTCAGAAAAAAAAAATTTTTTTTTTTCCCTCTACGTTTGGTATGCTTTTTAACCAACAAAATTTTTTTCAAAAATAAAAGATGGGTAGACCAAACGGGAAAAAAGTTTCAACAACTAAAGTATCTAAAGTTGCTAAAAGTAAAAACAATGATATAAAAGAAAATACAGAAAAGGACACTTCGGAATCTGATTCCGAGATTAAAGTTCTTAGACGTAGACCTAAACGTATAATGGTTTCAGAATCCGAGGATTCTGAGAATGAAGTTGTTCTTACTCCAAAAGCAACAAAATCTTCGGGATCTAATAACAAAACAAATGTACAAAATTCATTAATTAAAGACGAGAAGGTAATTTATTATTTATTCACAATCCTTTCCCCCCACTAATATTTTAATTATTTTAATAAAAATTTTTTTCTTTATTTTAGTTGGAAAGTAAACTTGTAAAAAGAATGCGAATAGATTCTGAATCTGAAGGGAATGATAAGAACATTGAACCCAAAAATGATTCAAAGAAATTAAATAATAAAAAGGCAACAATTAAAAAGGAGGAACCGAATTCCACTAATAAGAAAGTTTCTGCTACGTCAACTACTACTATTACCACTAAGGCAAAAACTATTAAGCAAGAAGCAAAAACTATTAAGCAAGAAGAAAAAACTTTTAAACAAGAAGAAAAAACTGTTAAGCAAGAAGCGAAAACTGTGAAACAAGAAGTAAAATATTTATTAAATATGTAAATTTATTAAGGTTAACATAAATGGTTATTAAATTTTTATTTTTTATTTGTTTTTTTTTTTCGAAGACCAAGCGAAAACGCAATGATTCTGATTCTGATTCAGAATATAGAAAGCTCGCATCAAAATCTCGAAATCGAACAAGTGGCACAAAATCACGACCGGAAAGAAAAAAGAAAAAAGAGGATAACCAAGCGGATGTTGAAATATCCGAAAAGAAAAGAGGTAAACAAAAGGAAACTAAGGAAGCTTCTGATGCGGAAGTTGAACAGGATAGTGAAGACGAAGACGATGAATTTAAATGGTGGCAACAAAATGCCGATAATGACGGTACAGTAAAATGGAATACGTTAGAACATAATGGAGTATATTTCCCTCCACCATATGAGCCACATAATGTAAGGATGAAATACGACGGTATGTAAAAATAATATTTAATTGTAAATCATTTTTCATTTTTGTTCTTATCATTGTTTTTCTTTAACAGGTAAAGAAGTTACTTTAACCCCAGAAGCCGAGGAAGTAGCAAGCTTTTATGCTGCTATGCTCGGAACAGATTACGTAAAGAATTCCATATTTAATAAAAATTTCTTTAAAGATTGGCAGGAAATTATAAAGAAATCTTCAAAGGTATTTTTTTTTTTATTTTTATTTTTATTTTTTGTAAAATGCATCTTTGCACTCACTCATTTTCAATAAACTCTTCACTCACTCATTCACCCAATAACAATGATTAATGACAATAGAATCCTCCAATTAAAGATTTCAAAAAATGTGACTTTTCTCCCATATACGAATTTTTTGAAAAAGAAAAGGAACGAAAAAAGAATTTGTCGAAGGAGGAAAAGGCTGCGATAAAAGAAGAAAAAAAAAAACTTGAAGAAAAATATGGTTTTTGTGTTTTAGATGGTCGTCGTGAAAAAGTTGGAAATTTCAGGATTGAACCGCCTGGTCTATTTAGAGGTCGAGGTGCTCATCCAAAATGCGGTAAATTGAAGGTATAAATTTTATTTAGTTTGGTTTACATATGTATATACATTTATATTTTTATTATATTTATTAAAATTATCAACCAATCTTTAAATCCCGATCTTTTAAATTAATCATCTTTAAATTTAGCAAAGGGTTTTACCAGAACAAGTAACTATTAATGTTGGTAAAAATACACCCGTCCCACCACCACCACCAGGACATAAATGGAAAGAAGTTATTCATGAAAACACGGTCACATGGTTAGCTACATGGAAAGAAAATGTAAATGATAATATCAAATATGTGTTCTTGGCTGCCAATAGTTCATTGAAAGGTCAAAGTGACTTAAAAAAATTCGATAAAGCTCGTGAATTAAAGGTATGTTTATCATATATTTATTTACTATTATGTATTTACAGCATTTTTTTTAACAAACATTTATTAAATACAAAATATTTTTTATAAAATTTAATTTATTAATCCGGTAATAAATTTAATTAAATTTAGAAACATATTGAAAAAATTCGAAATGATTATAAAAAAGAACTTAAAGACAAACTTATGGCCACACGTCAGATGGCCACAGTAATTTACCTTATAGATAGATTAGCACTTCGAGCTGGTAACGAGAAAAATACCAAAGATGAAGCGGATACTGTAGGTTGCTGCTCGCTTCGGGTAGAACACGTTACTCTTAAACCACCTAATACAGTCGAATTTGATTTCTTGGGTAAAGACTCTATTAGATATGTCAATACAGTCGAAGTTGAAGAACAAGTCTTCAAAAATCTTAGGATTTTTATTAAAGGAAAAGATCCCAAGAAAGATATGTTATTTGATAGAGTAAATGTGAGTGGCAATATTATTCCTTATTTTTTTTCTTTTTTTTTCGTTTGCATCATTTTATACGTCATTTTATCTGTCACTTTATTAATAATAAATTTCTTTATAGACACAAGATTTAAATAGACGTTTATCTGGCTATATGAAAGGGTTAACGGCTAAAGTTTTCCGTACGTATAATGCATCGTACACTTTTCAGACAGAGCTCAAAAAACTTACAGACAAGAATGCGACAGTGGCAGAAAAGATTTTGTCTTATAACCGTGCAAACCGTATGGTTGCTATTTTGTGTAACCATCAAAGATCTGTAAGCAAAGCACACAGTAATCAAATGAACAAGATTCAAGATAAAGTAATTTATTTATCATTATCCCTTATTATTTATTTTCTAAAGAGATATGATTATTTATTTATTTATTTATTTATTTATTATTGTTATTGTTGTTGTTGTTGTTAGATACGAACTTTAAAATACCAAAAAATGAAAGCAAAAAAAGTTATAATGTGTTTGGATACCAAATTAAAAAAGAAATACTCGGATCTCGAATCAGATTTAGAGGAAGATTGGATTATAGAGCACGAAAAACAGTTAATGGAAAAAGAACGGGAAAGAATTCGTAAAAAATTTGAAAAGGACAATGAAACAAGGAAAGAGGAAAATAAAAAACTCTTGACCGAAGAAGATTTACAACAAATGTTAGCAGATGTTGATGAAAAAGAAAAGGAATTAATCCATGAACGTAAAATTGCTAAAATTCAACCTAAAAAAGGTCAAACAATTGAAAAGTTAGAGGCACAAATAGAGAAACTAGATGCTCGTATTAAAGAAACAAAACTTATGATGGTTGATAAAGATGAAAATAAAACTACTGCATTGGGTACCTCTAAAATTAATTATATAGATCCACGTATTTCGGCTGCTTGGTGTTTAAAATACAATGTACCAACAGAGAAAATTTTTAATAAAAGTTTACGCGATAAATTTAAGTGGGCTTTTGATGTTGTTAATAAAGAATGGGTAAGTTATTAATATTATTATATTATTATTATTGAATTATTATTTTATTAATATCAATTATTCATCATTCATTAATAATATTAATATTTTTTTTTAAAAAAAAAATAGGAATTCTAAGTTACGAGACAATTTGAGACAATTTGAGACATTTAAGACATTTCTATTTTGTTTTTAGTTTTATTATTTTATTCTTCTATTTCTATTTTTTTATTTTTTTTTATTTTTTTTTAGATTATTACTCTAAATATGTATAAAAAAAGGTAGTAGATAATAATAAGTAAAGTAGATAATTATTATAAGCAAAAGGAAATACAAAGTAATATTTTGATTTTTTGATACATATATACAGTATAAGATTTGTGGACCTCTTTGTTGTGTTCTGTTAAATTAAATATTTATCAATAATTAATAAAATATATATATATATATGCAGTAGTTTAATATTGCGAAAATTTAATATTAATATCTAATGCACTTAGAGAAATCATTTGTAATTAAACAATACTTTATTGATATTTAATAAGGCACACTTTTCTTTCAATGTCCTTTATATAAATTTTCCTATATAAATTTTCTTAACCGAACCGATTTCCTAATAAAGATTTAGTAGATTACAAAATGGATGGCATTGGGATCAGTGTTTGAAATTCAATGTGCGGAATGTGCAAAGTTAAATAATAATTTTATACAAAATAAACTTAAAGATAAAATTATAAAGAAACAATATTTAAACTAAAATTTAAATAAAAATTAAATAGAAAATAATTTATAATATAATCAAATCAATAAGTGAATATTTGTCAAGAAAATTAATAAATGTATTATTAAAACAAATCCAAACAACAAAAGATTTTTCTTTTACAGATCTTTATATTATTAAATTCTTGAATTAAATAATGTTACATTTGAATTATTTAAATGACATCAAATGTTATTAAATTTCATTTTAATTCCTACCATTCCATGCTATGTCATGAAAAACCAATCTTCACATTGACAAAGTACTAACTAATACACTATTTTTTATTAATTCCAATTTTTGATATATGTTAATTGCTAGGACTAAGTTATATGCACTTTAGTATCGTTATAAAGGTGAATTCCAATTAACACTAGTTGAAATAAATATTCAAAACATTCTTCTACAATTGGCAACCTTTTCTAAATATATTCTGGTTTGAAGTGAATGTTAAATATTATCTACATTGTTTTTAACTTCATTTATTAATTTTTTTCAATTTTTTCTCTTTTATTTTATTTTTTAATAGAATAGCAAAGTCTTATCTTTTTTTCATTTAAATTTTGCTTTCAAGAACTAAATACATAAATATCAATTACAAAAAAAATAACAAATTAAGAATAAAGATTGACTAAAACTAATGTAAATAAAGCTAAACTAGTATAAGACTTCACAATTGTCTATATTATAAAAATGTCAAAGGAACCATAACCTTCTTCTATTATATATATTATTTGTTTATTGGTAAAGTGAGTAAAGAAGAGTTTAAATTATCTTTAATGAATTTATAATCTAAAGTTCTGTTGTCCAACTGCTTGAATTTTTTTCTTATAGACCTTTGTTATATTGTTTTTGCATTTTTATTTAAAAATTCTTTGCAATAATAGATTCATTTCTTCTACTTGCAATTGTTAAAATCTGAGTAGATTTCATTTTTCCTCTTTTATAATATGCAGTAGTTTAGTATTTCTTATAAATATATATAGCATCTTTGAGAATAAATAAAATTATTTAATAAATAAACTGCAAGATCATTCATTTATTCTTTTTCCATTTTATTTTTTTAATTTTTTGTAATTTTCTTTGCAAATTTTTAATTTTAAAAGAATTCTTATTGTAAATCTTAAAAAAAATAAATTAAGAATAAATAAATATAATTTTAATAATAATTATATTAAGGATTTCGGTTATGTTTATTTAAATAATAAATAAATCTAATATGTATAAATAATTATAATAACTAATTTAAACAATTACTTACAGATTTAAGTATACTTGTTATCCAAATTCAAATTTCAAATTCTAAAATTTCAAATTTCAAGTTATAATTAATATTTTTTGTCAAAATTCCAAATTTCAAATCTCAAATAATTTGAACACATGTGAATTTTAAAAAATTTATTTAATTTTTAAATAATAAAAAGCTTGAAATAATTTAATAATTATTCAAAGTCAATTCTTCTAATTGTAATTAAATTAAAAATAAGCAAAACTACTCTTTATTTATAAAAATACATTTACTTATATATATATATATATAGTATATATTTATTCTAATAAGGTCTTGTTTCAAATTTATTAATTAATTGATAATTTTTTTTAACAGATTTTATAAGTTAAAAATTTTTTACATAATAATCTAAAAACTAATAATTTATATAAATTATATCTACCATCCAAATTTAAAATCCAAATGTCAAAATTCAAAATTTCAAATTTCAAATTTCAAATTTCATATTATTACTAGTAAATTTTGTTGAAATCTCAAATACTATGAATATAGAATTTCAACATCTCAAATTTCAAATTATTTGAAATTTGGATAACAGGTATAATATAAATAAAATATATATAATATTAGTAACATAGTAAATTTCAAGTAATAAAAATTGATTCTTTTCAATAATATTAATTAATTTTTTAAAACTTTTCTAAATATACAGTATATCTTTTTTAATCTTTTTTTAACTTTAAATTTAAATTTTGTAAAATTTTGTTATTAATAAATATTTTTTAATATTATTAAAATATGGGTTTTAGACTGTATTGTTATATCTACTTATAAATAATATCTTAAAATATTTAAATAAATTACTACAATTTTACAAGGATTACTAAGATCAACTCAACTTAAATTATTTATCAAAGACTTTAAAAGAATATTACAAAATGAGTTTTTTATTGTGAAGGAATTTTAGCTATCAAACTATACCTGCCACCCAAATTCAAAATCCAAATGCCGAAATCCCAAATGCCGAAATCCCAAATCCCAAATC